TAATTGCTTTAGCTAAGACTTTAAGTACTATATTGAATAGGTAGGAGAGAGTGGGCAGCCTTGTCTAGTCCATGAATTTAGTTGGATTGCTTCAAGTTTTTATCTATTTAGTTTGATGTTGGCTACTGGTTTGCTGTATATTGCTTTTACTATGTTTATGTACGGGCCTTGAATTCCTGATCTTTCCAGGATTTTTACCATAAAGAAGTGTTGAATTTTGTGAAATGTTTTTTCAGCACCTAATGAGATGATCATGTGGAGTTTTTCTTTGAGTTTGTTTATATAGTGGATTACCTTGATGGATTTTTGTATACTGAACCATCTTTGCATTCCTGAAATAAAGCCTACTTGATCATGATGGATGATTGTTTTGATGTATTGTTGGATTCAGTTTGTGAGAATTTTATTGAGTATTTTTGTATTGATATTCATAAGGGACATTGGTCTGAGGTTCTCTTGCTTTGTTGGGTCTTTGTGTGGTTTAGATATGAGCACATTTGTGGCTTCATAGAATGAATAATGTAGTGTTCCTTCTGTTTCTCTTTTTTGGAATAGTCTGAAAGGAGCTGGTGTTAGGTCTTTTTGGAAGATTTGATAGAATTCTGCACAAAAACCATCTGGTCCTGGGCTTATTTTTGAGGGGAGACTTTCAGTGACTGCTGCTCTTTCTTTAGAAGTTATGTTACTGTTTATGTGGTTTATCTGATCTAGATTTAACTTTGGTATTTGGTATGTGTCTAGAAAACTTTCCATTTCATCCAGATTTTCCAGCTTTATTGAGTATAGTCTTTTGCAGTAAGACCTGATGATTTTTTGAATTTCCTCAGTTTCTGTTATTATGTCTCCCTTTTCAGTTCTTATTTTATTTATTTGTAAACTGCTCTCTGGTTAGTCTGCTAATGGTTTATCTATCTTGTTGATTTTTTCAAAGAACCAGCTCCTGGTTTTGTTGATTCTTGGTAGAGTTCTTTTTGTTTTTACTTTGTTGATTTCAGCCCTGAGTTTGATTATTTTCTACTGTCTTCTCCTCTTGGGTGTATTTCCTTCTTTTTGTTCTAGAGCTTTCAGGTGTACTGTCAAATTGCTAGTATATGCTTCCTCCAGTTTCTTTTTGTAGGTACTTAGCGATATGAGTTTTCCTCTTTGCACTGCTTTTATTGTGACTCATAAGTTTTGGTATGAGTGTCTTCACTTTTATTAAAATCTAAAAAGTCTTTAATTTTTTTTCTTTATTTCTTCCTTGACCAATTCATCATTGAGTGGAGTGTTGTTCAGTTTTTATGTGTATGTGGGCTTCTTGTTGTTTTTGTTGATATTGAAGACCAGCCTTAGTCCTTAGAACTGATAGGATGCAAGGGATTATTTCAATCTTTCTGTTTCTGTTGAAGCCTCTTTTGTGACCAATTATATGGTCAATTTTGGAGAAGGTATCATGAGGTGCTGAGAAAAAGTTATGTTCTTTTGTTGTAGGGTGTAATGCTCTACAGATATCTCTTAAATCCATTTGGTTGATAACTTCTCTTAGTTCACTGTGTCTCTGTTTAGTTTCTGTTTCCATGATTTGTCCATTGATGAGACTGCCATGTTGAAGACTCTCACTATTATTGTGTGAGGTGCAGTATGTGCTTTGAGCTTTAATAAGGTTTCTTTTATGAATGTGGGTACCCTCGCATTTGGAGCATAGATATTCAGAATTGAGAGTTCATCTTGGTGGATTTTTCCTTTGATGATTATGAAGTGTCCTTCCTTATCTTTTTTGATAACTTTTGGTTAGAAGTAGATTTTATTTGATTTTAGAATAGCTACTGCAGCTTGTTTCTTGGGACCATTTGCTTGGAAAATTTTTTTCCATCCTTTTACTCTGAGGTAGTGTCTGTCTTTGTCACTGAGGTACATTTCTTTTATGCAGCAAAATGCTAGGTCCTGTTTAATATATCCAGTCTCTTAGTCTATGTCTTTTTATTGGGGAATTGAGTCCATTGATGTTAAGAGATATTAAGGAAAAGTGATTGTTGCTTTCTCTTATTTTTGTTATCGGAGGTGGAATTATGTTTGTGTGGCTATCTTCTTTTGGGTTTGTTGGAAGAAGATTAAATTCTTGCCTTTTCTAGGTTATAGTTTCCCTCTTTGTGTTGGAGTTTTCCATCTATTATTTTTTGTAGCACTGAATTTGTCAAGAGATATTGTGTAAATTTGGTTTTGTCTTGGTTTCTTTATCTATGGTAATTGAGAGTTTTTGCTGGGTATAGTAGTCTGGACTGACATTTGTGTTGTCTTAGGGTCTGTATGATATCAGTCCAGGATCTTCTGGCTCTTATAGTCTCTAGTGTGAAGTCTAGTGTAATTCTAATAGGTCTACCATTATATGTTACTTGACCTTTTCCCCTTACTGCTTTTAATATTCTTTCTTTGTTTTCTGCATTTGGTGTTTTGATTATTATTTGACAGGAGGAATTTCTTTTCAGGTCCAGTGTTTTTGGTTCTGAAGACTTCTTTTATATTTATGGGCATCTCTTTCTTTAGGTTAGGGAAGTTTTCTTTTATAATTTTGTTCAAGATATTTACTGGCCCTTTAGTTTGGGAATATTTACTCTCTTCTCTACCCACTATCCTTAGGTTTGGTCTTCTCATTGTGTCCTGGATTTCCTGTATGTTTTGGGTTAGTAGGTTTTTGCATTTTGTATTTTCTTTGACCATTGTGTCAGTGTCTTCTATGGACGTCTTCTGCACCTGACGTTCTCTCTCCTATCTCTTGTATTCTGTTGGTGATGATTGTATCTATGACTCCTGATCTCTTTCCTAGGTTTTCTATCTCCAAGGTAGTCTATCTTTGTGATTTCTTTATTGTTTCTACTTCCATTTTTAGATCCTGGATGGTTTTGTTTTATTCCTTCACCTGTTTTATTGTGTTTTCTTTCAAATCTTTAAGGGATTTTTGTGTTTCCTCTTTAAGGGCTTCTACCTCTTTACCTGTCTTCTCCTGTATTTCTTTATGGAAGTTAATTCTGTCCTTCTTAATGTCTTCTGTTATCATCATGAGAAATGATTTTATTCTGAATCTTGCTTTTCTGGTGTGATGGGGTATCCGGGACTTGTTATGCTGAGTGAACTGGCTTCTAATGATGCCAGATAACCTTGCTTTCTGTTGCTTATATTTTTGTGTTTGCCCTTTGCCATCTGATTATATCTAAGTAAGTACTCCCTGCACTCACTGTCCCTGATTGGAGCCTGTTTATCCTCTTTTCTTGGTTGTGTCAGAGCTCCTGGGAGTCAAGCTGACTCTGGGATTCTGTAATCCTATGATGCTGGGTGTGTTAAAGTTCCTGGGTGTGGAGCTTCCTTTACCATCTTGGAGCTGTTAGAGCTTCTGGCAGTCCAGCTTCTTCTAGGTGTTGTGGGATTGTTTGTAGAGGTAGAGGCTAAGGTCTGCTGAGTGCAATGGCTCAGGTCAGAAGGAATCAGTGCCAGTGAGTCAGGGAATGTTATCTCCACAAGAGCAGACCAGCTAAGAGTCATCTGCTCTGGGTGCAGTGGATGTTCAACTGCTCTGAGTGAAGCAGATACTCTGGTATGGATCAATGGCTATCAGTGCAGCAGATCTTCTGGGATGGGTCTGAATATGGTCTCCTGGCTGCAGCTCTGGGACTTGAAGTTTGGAGGAGGTTTCTTACCAATTTCTCTGAGTGCAGCAGATCCACTGGTATGGGTTTGGTTCTTTAGTCAGTCATATCAGGACTGCAGATAGCCTGGCATTACACTCAGATAGGGAGAGATTTCTGTTTTTTAGTAACATAATAATTTATTTTTAATTATTTTTTCAACATCCCAAATGGTACCCCCTCCTGGTCCCTGCTTACAGAGTTTTTCCCTTAGGCCCTCTCCATTTTGCCTCTGAATGGTTGTACCTCCTAGCTATCCCCCAACTCTGGTGCATTAAGTTTTTGCAGGATTAGGCACATCCTCTACCACTGAGGCCAAACAATACATCCCTCTGCTATATATGTGCTGGGGTCTTGGACTGACTTTTTGGTTGGTGTCTCAGTCTCTGAGAGTGTCCAGAGATCAGGGTTAGTTGACACTGTTGGTCTACCTGTGGGGTTGCCATCCACTTCAGGGCCTTTAATCTTTCTCCTCACTCTTCCATAGGGGTCCCCAACCTCAGTCCAGTGCTTGGCTGTGAATATCTGCATCTGTCTCAATCAGGTGCTGGTAGAGCCTCCCAGAGGACAGCTATTCAGGGCTCTGTCTGCCTACTGGTAGTGTCAGAGATTGATGCCTGCCTATTGGATGTGTCTCAAATTGGGCCAGTCACTGGTTGACCTTGTCTTCAGTCTCTGTTCTTCTTGTCTCTGAATTCTTTAGACAGTACCAACTTAGGTTTGAAAGTTTTGTAGGTGGTTTGGTGTCCTCATGCTTCCACTGGGAGTCCTCTCTGGCTACAAGAGGTGGTCTCTTCAGGTTCGATATCCCCACTGTTTGGCATTTCAACTTAAGTCATCTGCATGGACTGTTAGAAGCTTTCTAGGGAGAGTTTTCAAATCGTAGGTTTCCCAATTTTATCATGGGGTGACTGAGTGAGCCCATGAGAAGAGCTCAGCAGAACCCTGAAGCAGAGTCCTGCATAGTTGAGTATTTGTTTCAGTGTGAACACCAGGGACTGATTCATTTTCCTAGTACCAGAGGTCCACTGATAAGGGTTCAAATCTGAGTCTTAAATTTTTACTGCTGGGAAAGTAAAATAATATTGAGATGTTTTCAACCTTATTCTCTTTATCTCTAAACTTACTTCAAAGTGTCCTAGTTCTGACAGTTTGTACATTGATTTGTCTGGAAATCTTCTGGTAAACAAGATACATGCTGGATGTGAAAGCTATAGCAAACAGATTTTTATGTATTGAATCTAAATTTGATGTTGTGATTGGCAGACTACAGATGTAGATAATAAGATGCTCATATCAGCTGAGATTTTTTGCTACTTATGATTTCTTTCTTATTTGCAGTTCTCAAAAGTCTATGGCCCTGTGTTTACCCTGTACTTTGGTCCAAAGCCTACTGTGGTGGTACATGGATATGAAGCAGTAAAGGAAGCTCTGAATGACCTGGGAGAGGAGTTTTCTGGGCGGGGTGTCTTCCCAATTGTTGAAAAAGTGAATAATCACCTTGGTAAGTGTGCATATGCACATATGTGCATATATGTGCATGCATGTGTATGTATGTGTATGCTAGGCAGGGATCATGGGAATGAGACATGAAAAATTTCTTAGGCCAGGAGCCAAGGGGCAGTCAGATCCCATTCCCTTCCTTGTTTGAGTTCTCCCTTCTAGTTTCTGTTTTCTGTTCTGGCAGGGGTCATTTTCAGCAATGGGAAAAAATGGAAGGAGCTTCGGCGCTTCTCACTTATGACCTTGAGGAATTTTGGGATGGGGAAGAGGAGCATTGAAGATCGCATTCAAGAGGAAGCATCTTGTCTTGTGGAAGAACTAAGAAAAACAAATGGTGGGTACCTGTTTGCCTGGCTCTTCCTCTATATGCTCTTTCAACACTGCAGTGGTAGCCAGCCAATTCTGGGCAGTGGTTGTTAGCTCTCATGCTAGTGCCCAAGGACAGAGTGTTGCTTGTCTGTCCTCATGTTTGCACATGTTGATTAGGCACACAGTATAGTCATAGAATCCCATTCTGACCCTGTTGCTTTCAAAACAGAACATCATGAAGATAGAAAGTGGTTATCTTCATTAAAATTCACACAGGGTAACATTTTCCTTTAGTGTCATTGTGACTTTATTATTAACAATATTTCTTTGGACAGTATTTGTCAAGTGTACATGGTATGATTGAGCTCATCATATTTTCATGGAAGATGAGAAAGTGACATGTTTTGTCATCGAGGTATCCTATATCTGGTCAGATTTAGTGACACAGTGACATATATTTGCTTCAAGACCCATGTTTGCACTTCTGCTAGTAATGATGCTTATAATAATTTTTTTTCCTTTTCTTTAGGCTTTTGTTAGTTTCATCATTTCTGTTTACCCTGTAAATACAGGGCTGTTTAAAAGTTGTCAAGTTAACCTGATGTTAATAAGTATTTGCTCTAGTTTTTCATATCTCTTGAGTCAGTATATACTATGATGAATTCTGCTAATATAGAACATGTATGTCATTATTTATTTAACTCTATTTCAACTACTATTAATTCTACCATGTCTTCCTATTTATCCTTCCCTCTAATTATAAATTGGCTTTTGGTACATACTGCAGATTAAATTACCCATGGCCTGAGGTCAGTATTTCCATTTTGGTCAAGCTTCAAAAAGGACATATATAGCTTGATCATGCTAGCCCTTTTTGTTCTGGGAATACTTTTATTCCTGAACATCGTGTTAAAGTTTTATTCAGCAACATCAACATGCTGGCAGCCAAAGTACATGACTTGAACCTGAAAATAGGCACCCTGACAGAGTTATTAAACTAACAGGCTGGCAAGCCAAGGACAGGTAAGATTCTATACAGAGCCTTACCAACCTAAGACACAAGTGCATTGCTTTGGATAATGCATATTCTATGATGGGTAAGGAAGGCATTCTCCAGAACAAACTAAGCCAGGCTCGGTCTTGTTAATGAAATAAAAAAGGAGGAGAGGGAGAAAGCCTTTTGGGCTTCTTGGCAAGAATCTGACATGGGCTAAGGACAAGGAAATGGGCTTCCTGGCAGGAGTATGACATTGTCCAAGGATAAGAAAGTAGGCTTCAAGCAGGAATCTGACATTAGGCTAGAACAAAGAAGTAATTTCAGGTAGAAATCTAAATCTTAGGCCAGAACAAAGAAGTAATCTCAGGCAGGAACCTAAATATTAGGCTAGAACAAGGAAGTAGGCTTCAGACATGAAAATTACCTTGGGCTAGGACAGGGAAGTAGGCTCAGATACTTTGTTCATCCTGATAAGCCCGTAGAATCAGTGATCATGGGAATGTTCACATAATTGGGTTTAATCCCTTGCTTGTTATTTGACTATTTGTGTTTATTGTCTTGCATGTTCCTTGAGTATTTGCATCTATTGTATTGCTAGACCCTCAACCTAGAAATGTCCTTAATACATGCATGTAATTGAAATGGTATAAAAGCATAAAGGAGGAGGGGGGATCAGATAGAGGATCCTAGGGAAAGGGAAATCGGGAAAGGGGATGACATTTGTATTGTCAATAAATTAAATAGCCAATTAAAAAAATAAATTGGCTTTTAGTCTATCCTTTGTAATTTGCTTATCAGCATATTTTATCTTTCTATATTTTATAGTTTTTGATTAATAGACCCTTCCTAATCTAGGAAGTAACCTCTACTCCTATACTTAGGTATTTACTAGATATAAAAAGCATGCCTTTGATTTTTAAACCAGCCCATTCTCCCAAATATTTTCTTTATCCAATTCACAAATACCAGTTTTGAGTTTTCTTTGCTCCAGCAAAGGTATGGGTTCCCTAAGAGCATCCTTATAATCCAGATGCCACTGAGGTTACTCTATCAATGCAGCTCATTGAGTGTTTCTACAATGCTTCATGCCATCCTTCTGTACAAGACCTAATGTGCTTTCCTGACCTCTCTTTCCTCTTGTCTGTAAGCCAACCCTGATGTTGTCTCTGAGTGACCCTGTGTCAATCGGTGAGTCTTCTTTTGGGTTCTGTAATCATCAGTCTTTCCTATGATTTTCATCTGGTTTGTTGCCCTCACATATTTAGATAGAAAGGAGGTTCTGGATGCATCTCAAACCACTGGTTTTTGGCTTGGAACTTTTATGGTTATTATTTAACTCCGATGCTAGCTGTATTCATTAAATGTTTGTCAAAGTGAATTTGGTTTTTCAGCTCAGATCCCAAGTTACCTCAAGTTTTAGTTATCTTTCCTAAATGTAAGTATATATTAGAAATCTAATTAAGATATTTTTAAGATATATTTATTTTACATTTTAGTTTTATATGTATGTGTGTCTTGTCTGCATTTATGTCTGTGTACTGTAAGCACCTTAAATTACTTACTGGGCCAAGGTCACCTGATATGGCCTGAAGGAATTAAATCAGGCATGTTAGGGGGCACAGCACAGCTGAGGCTGTGATAGTTTTATTGAGATCAATACTTTTTATTCCTTTATCAGAAGCAGAATATGCAGACAACTGCCTGTGTCAATACAGTTTAGTTGACAGAATACAAATGAAGTTTGCAAGCTATACAGGATACACAAGATTAATGTCTAAGACCAACTGTCCTGTTAAGTTTCTATGCTTCCTTGACGCCAAAGGGAACAGACAGAGAAACACAAGAGGCCTGTTTCTTCACTGCCTGAGGGAGTGAATCAATCTCTGAGGAACAGGAAGGCACATTGTGCCTAGGAGCAATGGACTCTATCCTGATAAATCTCTGACACATGTTTCTCAAGGCAGGTAGGCCAAAGCAACTACATGGTTTTTTTGCATGTATACTATCTGTATGCCATTCCAGTGAAGGCCAGAAAAGATCATTGTATACCCTGGAAATAGACTTGCATACAGTTGTGAACCATAAGCCACCTAGGTTCTTTGGAAGAATTGTCAGTATTCTTAACTTGGAACCATCTCTCCAGTCCCAGAAATTAGATTTTCCAGTCTTAAATATGCACATGCATGTACACACACACACACACACACACACACACACACACACACATTGTGATTTGTTTTTCAAGACAGGATCTCACTCTGTATTCTTGTCTGTATTAGAACTTATTATATAGGCCAGGATGGATACAGACTCACTGAGATCCATCTGCTCTGCTTCCAGAATGCTGCTAAGGTGTATACCACTACACACCACTTAAATTTTAAATTAATAATTTGAATTATTCCTTTCTAAGATAAAATAAGATCTCCTGCCCTCCCCTCTCTCTCCTCCTTTCTTCCTTTTTTCAATAAAAGGTGAATGAATATCTTGATATTTTACCTGAAAATGAGTCTGATGTCAGATTCATCAAGTATAAGTATACAGCTTTCTATAGTTTTAATCCTCTGTCCTTTTCATCATAAAAACTGTTATTTATAAAGTTTATTGGTGATTCAATTAAAAAGGTTTTTGAGGCATGGAGAGATGGCTCAGTCGTTAAGAGCACTGACTTTCTTAAAGAGGTCCTGAGTTCAATTCCCAGTAACCTCGTAGTGGCTCACATCCATCTGTAATGGGATCTGATGCCCTCTTCTGGTGTGTCCGAAGACAGCTACAGTATATTCATATACACAAAATAAATCTGTAAAAAATATTTTTTGTGACAGATTTTCAGTCTTTCCAGGTTTTTCTCAAGCTTTCCATCTTCCCCTTGGCAGGACAGGGACTCCAGATTCCTACAAAGTAGTAGCTGAGTCCCCGTCATTTTATTTAAATATGCCAATGTAAAATTAATATTTCTGCTTTTATTTTTTAAATGCTTTCCAAAAAATTTTTAAAAAGTATACGATCTGTTAATGGCTATATAGTTCAATAACCCAGGATTCCTGTATGGAGTAGACTTTATCTAAAGAGGTTAAAGTGGTAGACCTAGTGAGTAGGGAACACTGTTTCCCAAAACAATATTCTATGTACTTTCTTTCTCAGTGTTGAAATGACAAAGTTAAAGCACTCTTTTATTAATGTAAACTCTGTATTTGTCCCATTTTAACTGACTTTTAAATTTCACCTTTGTTTTAGGCAAACAAATCTCTAAGAATTGATGCTTGTGTTTTGTTAGCATTTTTTTGATATGGATATTTCTGCTTTTTCAAATTTGTCCTGATGAACACATGCATTTCCTGTAAATCTTGTTCTCCTTGATCGTCTTCTCTGCTGGCTGTGGTGGACATGGCTCCTTCAGCTATTCACCAGACACAAAACGTTTCCAGATTACTATTTTCTTCCATAATTGTGTAAAAACTTTAGCTTCTCCACTGAAAACTGAAGTTTTATGTGTTCTTAAAAGTGGTGATGTATTTTCTTAGAACTTAGAATATGTGCCCAAAGAGTAATGTTTACACAGGGAGCAGCTGCTAAAGATTTAGCTAATGATTATTAAGTAAACTAGAACTAAAGAAACAGTGATGTGCTAATTGAAAGAATGTGGAAGTTCTTGCCAATATGGTACTTTCTGTGCCAATATTTCCTTAAGGATTCCAAAATTATTAATGTGATTTTTTTTTTAGTCTAAAGATAAAGACATTTACATGGATGTTTTAAATGGTATTTTAAACTTCAGGCTCACTCTGTGATCCCACATTCATCCTGAGCTGTGCTCCTTCCAATGTGATCTGTTCAGTTATTTTCCACAATCGTTTTGATTATAAAGATAAGAATTTTCTTAACTTGATGGAGAAATTAAATGAAAACTTTAAAATCTTGAACTCCCCATGGATGCAGGTGAGTCAAAGATATTCTATTCACAAGAAAGCATTTATTTCTCTAAAATGTCAAAATTTTTACTTTGGTGCAATGTGTCTACTTTCTAGAGATTTACTTTTAAGCTTGGAATAAAGAGAGAATCAGTCTCTCTTATTCTCTTTCCCTCCCTCCCTCCCTCCCTCCCTCCCTGTTACAGTTACTCAGGAGGGAGTAATTGAAGAAAATTGAAGGGTGAGGCTGAAGATAAATCTTAGTGTGGAGAGCTTGTGTAATTTACACAAGGCCCTGGGTTTGATCACAATACAACAATAACAAAAGGAAGCACATACTAGTTATAAGGTACCATTGTCAAGGCCACTGTCAAGCCAAGGAGACAGATGAGATAAGGGATGATACAGTACCACAAAACCTTTCTACCTTTTTTTCTCTAAATAAATATGGTTGTTCTGCCTGAATACATTTCTGGGCACCATACTAGAAGTAGGTATCAGATCCCCTCACACTGGTGTTATGGCTAGTTATAAGCCATCATGTGGGTGTTAGGAGTGCAACCATGATCCTCTGAAAGAGCAACAAGTGCTCTTAACCTCTGATCCATCTCTACAGCCCTTTTCTTATCCTTTAAAGCTCATTCCCTCTGTTTTATTGACTCTGCTTCCACATGGTTAAACTTGATTATTTTCCAGAGTTGTGACAAAGTTGTATCTGATAGTTTTCTTCCTCTTGTTGTTGTTGTTGTTGTTGTTGTTGTTGTTGTTGTTGTTCTTCTTCTTCTTCTTCTTCTTCTTCTTCTTCTCCTTCTCCTCCTCCTCCTCCTCCTCCTCCTCCTCCTCCTCCTCCTCCTCCTTCCTCTCTCTCCCTCTCTCTCTCCCATCCCTTCCTCTCTCCTCCTTACACACAAACACACAGATACACACACACACACACACACACACACACACACACACACATTCATTCATCTTTTGAAGGATCTCTAACCTGGTTTCGTTTCCTAGCTATTGTAAACAGTTCAGCAATAGACATTTAGAAACCCAACACAGCATTTTATGGGCAAAATGTTCACATGTAAGTGTGGTTAAATGATTTGTGCTGTTATCTTCCAGATAGGACTTAGAATATATGGCTCTGAATCTCCAACTCTCAAAAAGAGGAAGTCTCAGAAGGGAGAGCCAGCTCAGAGGGCAGACTGAATGGCTGAGTGCATTCAGTAGAGGCCCCTGTTGTACAAAGAATGGATGTTATTAAAATAGAGAAGGCTCTTTTGACTTAGTTGCACATTCAATATCGTTTCAATATCAGGACAAACTGTGGGAATGATAACAGTACACAAGATTACGTGACCCCAACTCCCAACACTTTCTGTCTCCAAACTCCAAAAATTGAGAATGAAGATACTTCAGTACATCACTCTTCCTCCTCCTCTATCCCCTGTGCTATTCTATTTTTCTTTTGGAAATATTTTTGGTTCATCATGTTTCATTTTATTTTATTTTAGTTTTTCAAGACATACTTTCTCTGTATAGCCTTGGCTGTCTAGAGATTAACTCTATAAACCAGGCTGTTCTCAAATTCAGAGTCATCCAGTTTCTGCTTACCAAGTGCTGCTATTAAAGGTTTCCATCACCACTGCCTAGCACTTCTTTTTTCATATTTTAAGGTTACTTTATTTTTTTACCTTTGTGTGTTTGTGTGCATGTGTATGTCGTTCATGAGTATATGTTATGTATGCATGCATGTTGAGTCCAGAGGATGAGCTTCCTTAGGAGCTCTCTACCTTGTTTTAGGAACAGAGTCTCTCTTTGGTCTGCAGCTCACCTACAGGGTAGACTATCTGGCCATTGACCCTAAGGATCTGAATGTCCCACCTCAACTCTGGAATTACAAGCACAGGCTCTGCATGCCTTGCTTCCTCACATGAGTTTTGACAACTGAACTTAGATTTTTAGTTCATGTGGCGAGTGTTTACTGACTGAGTTCTTTCTTCATCATCTTGTACTGATGTATTTTTTGTTTGGTTTCCTGTTATAATTTTAAAAGATTGTTTTTAAAGGTAGTTTTAGGTCAACATCAAAATCCAGTGCATAGTACAGAGGTATTCTTACAGCTTCAAGAGAGCTCCCTGATTTGTGATTGTTTTTTGTTCTCAGTCCTCAGGGGTAGCTCAGGGTTTTGTTTTCCTTTGACAGTTATTTGATTATTATTATTTTGAGAATTTAATTTCATACATGATTTCTGTATATATTAATTTCCACCCCAAACTCTCCCTCTCCAGCTCTTCTCTCATCTCCATATTTCCTCTCAATTTCATGACTTCTCCTTTATTATTTAAATATATATGCATATATAAATAAATATATACATTTCTCATATGTGTATATGTCTAAGGATGACCACTTAGGACTGGATGACCTAGCAGGAGGTCTCATCTCTGGACAAGACTGATTCTCTAGCTTTCAGCAGTCATTAGTTGCCTATAGTCTTTTGTGGGTATAAGTCCCTATCACATAGCAAAGACACTGTCTCATATATAACCTAGCATAGTCACAGAAACCAAGGAATTAAAAAGAGTCACTCAGTTTTAAATAACCATATCTGTCTCAAGACTGTGTCTGGCAGGTGCCCTCCTAGATCTATCTGCCAGAGGAGTTACTCTCATGAAATTCCACAGCTGAGTTTGACCACTACATGTGCAGCTCACTTTTGATTATCTTTGTCAACATAGAAGACTCTTTTCTGTATTTAGTCGAATGTTCTTGGTCAGAGGAGGCCCATATTTTACTGACTCTATCTTTCAACCGTTACTTGGCATATGTTGAATGTAACTTCAAATCATGTTAATAATGTAGTACATTTTTTTTTAAATTGAGATAACATCTCACTGTGCTATGCTGGTTATTCTCAAAATTCCTTTAAAATTATTTATTTAGAGAGGGCATCTCACTATGCTATGTGGGATATCCTCCAAACTCCTAGGCTCTGGTGATTCACTCACATAGGCCTTCTGAGTAACTGGATTACAAGTGTGAGTAACCATATTCAGCCTAATAAACATATATTTTTAAATCCTTAAGGTCTGCAATGCTATCCCTGCCTTTATTGATTATCTCCCAGGAAGCCATAACAAAGTAATTAAAAATTTTGCTGAAATAAAAAGTTATATTTTGAGGCAAATAAAAGAACATCAAGAAACACTGGACATGGACAATCCTCGGGACTTCATTGACTGTTTCCTGATCAAAATGGAACAGGTAAAGTGTTATTTATCAGCTTGCATTTTGTGTTTCATCAATTGTTTCTATTCTTACTGGGGAAATTTAACTTCTCAGGTAAGAACCAGTTGGTATGCAAATTAGGTTCCTACTATGAGGATGAATTGGATTTGCATCATTTAAGATTTAAAATTCAATTGTTAAGGAATCAGAATTATTTAATAAGTTATATGAGGAAAGGGAACATAAACTTCATGTGAGTTAGTCATAAACAACTTAAAATGCAAACTATTAAACATTAAAGTAAAAAGTGGACTTGATCAAAGGATCCCTGTAAATTGACTGTTTAGTCAGTGACTCTAGGCCAGAGGGGATTAAACATACATGTGTCTCTCTAAAGCATGGAGGTAATGGTTGTTGCATACAGTTATGCAAGGACCCCTAACAGTAATAATCACTGCGGAGACCATTTTAACATTGGAAAGTGCAGGTGAGGGAGCAGACAAAGGGAACATTGCATGTTGCTATTCATATGTAAATTATTACAGTCATCTTGGCAAACAGAAAGGCAGTTCCTCAAAAGAGTAAAAATGAAATGAACATGATTCAGCCATTTCACTCTTCATTATACATTCAAAAGAAAATTGAAATTAAGTGACAGAGATGCCCGTTCTCTTGTGATCTCCAACATTACCCACTCGGAACAACCAAGGTACCTCTAAACAAATTGGTGGAATTTTAAAATATGAGACAGCTTAAAATGTCAAATGGTTGGTCTGGAGTGGTGGCTCTTCCAGGGGTCCTGAGTTCAATTCCCAGCAACCTCATGGTGGCTTACAACCATCTATAACTGTAGTCCCATGGGATCTGATGCCTCTTCTGGTGTGCAAAACATCCATGAACAGAAAGTACATAAATAATTTTTAAAACGTTGACATGGCTAAGAATAAGCCAGGATTAATGACATTGTTTTACAGTCTATCTTTCCATAATGCAGACTATCATTCAGACAGTCCAAAGAAGGGGATGGCCTGGTAGCTGGTTCTTGAACTCCATTCTGATCTCAGATATCACTCTGCTGAACTCAGTGACTCCCCCTGGGTAGCAAGAGGGTTGCTCTTTGTTTTGTTTCTTGAATGAGTGGAATTTCTTCATGCCAATGCCTACATTTTCAGAGTACCCAAAGACATTTTTACCTGATTATCTGTCCAGAATAGTTTCTGGTTTGACTGTATCTTGAGACCAGCTAAGGTTCTCACCCTCCTCTGCGTCACCACACACATTTCAGAATCTCATCACTTCACAGTATAGATCTTAAATTCTCACCCCTGCTGCTTCACTCCAAATACTCAAAGATTAGTAACAAGCCCAAGTCACTGGGGAAGCCTGCCACATTAAGAACATGCTTGTCATTCTTCTCTATGATCAAGTCTACTTTTTACTTTAATGTTTAATAGTTTGCATTTTAAGTTGTTTATGTCTAACTCACCTGAAGTTTATGTTCCCTTTCCTCAAATAACTTATTAAATAATTCTGATTCCTTAACAATTAGGTGTTTCACTTATGGCCTTTCCCTCCTTTTCCTCAGAAAATTCTGTATGTTGGAGTTTTTAACAGATTTTATAGTAACGTCTTTGGATTGTCATTATTGGATCAATATACCTTCAACCTTTACTTTTCACTTTGTGTATGAATATGAAGAATTTATTAGTTGACAAGTATACTAGTCTCTATACTCATTCTGAAATCAATATATATTAATGTATATAAATATGTATATTTACACATCAAACATAAATATATCTAAATACATTATATATAAAATATATAAACTTGTAAATGTATACATATCTTTTGACTTATATATAGTGATGTGTTTGTAGGTAGAGGGAGAATGAGTAGTTTCTTATCTTTGTATCACACTCTTAAACTCTTGCTTTGTACAGTGATGCATGCCTGCCATTTCCGTGTGTTATACTTAGTATTTGAGTATTTGCATTGATGATAAAAATTTATTGGTATTATTATTCTAACATTATGCATGTTTGCTTGTTTGTTTGTTTGTGGGTTTGTACACATGTGTTGAATGCCAATTTTAACATTACAGGTAAACTGAGGATGTCAACATCATGTGGCATGGGCAATTGGGGTTGGTGTTAACAGCAGTCAAAGGGGTCTCCACTGATAGTGGCAGGCAATTTACAGGGTCAACATTGGTAGTGCTAACAGGTACAAAACTTAGTTAGCTAGGGTCAGTATTCTCTGTGCAAAACACTTCTGAACTCTTTTAACTGTTCAGGGGCTAGAGTTGATTGCTTCTGGCAATTAACTGCTGCTCATAGCAGCAGGGGATTAGTAAAAGGGACTTAACTGTTTGGGCAGGCAGTTAGAAGCTCTTAGTTCTTTAACTCAGGGGCCAGCACCAGCAACATGTTCAGAGCTCATTAACTCTTTGAGATCTGGTGAGAAAGAAAAATAAAGTCATGCACACATTCATCCATAATGGATGAAACAGAAACAGGCTTCAAACAGAAAGTTTCACCAGTTTCAGATGTGCAAACACACACACATGTGCACACACATGTGCACATGTATATACATACACACATTCATACATACTATATAAACATATATACATCTATCTACATACAGTTGGATACAGCAGAGCTCCAACCCCACATTCTTAACTATATACATAAGTACACCTTTGGTGAATGGAGAGAACCTCCAACAAGCTGGCTCCCACACTTTATTTTTGATCCCTGGCTTTTATATCATCTCAGACAAAAGTTCTTCATGTAAAAAAGAATTACCTTACAGATAAAAATGTTACACAAGAGGGAGTTACAGCAGCATAATTGATTACATGGTTTTCTAAACATTTTTACATTCTGTAAGTTTGTAGTAAGTTCAAAGCAATAGCTCACGTCCTAGGTTGATAAGGTTACAACAGAATTGTTTACATGAGGATTCCTACATCACTACACATTTATCTATTATTAGCTCCACAAGTTCATTATATGTTTAAAGCAATATTTTTTACATCATAACTTAGCAAGATTTTTGTTAAGAGACACATCGTATCTTATATCTTATTATTTTGAAGTCTTGTGTTGACAAACTAGTCAGCCATTTAGTTTTCTGTTCTTGAATCCATAATAAATTGCCCTTTCTTAGTTTGTGACCATAGTTAGTAAGATTAGTGGACTTATTTGTAACTTACAAGAAGTGTTTCCCTTGATTGTAATTTGATCCAAGCCCATTTCTCATCCCAGTGCAATTTACTCAGGACAGTTTATAGAACTTTATTTGCAGCATTTTTTCTTTTCTTTTTTTTGTTTAAACATGTTTATTACAACAGATACAATTCACATCTGACTAGCTTTGTTTCTCCTTTCTCCTCCCACAACCATGTTCACTGGGCCACTTCCTTGTATTTCAGCAGTCAATGTACTTTCAGTACACTTGCCCAGCAGTACTTTTAAGTCCATTCTTACAGGGTGAAAATGGATTTCAATAATTTATACAAACGTGGGTTATGCTCGATCACTGCAACTTCCAACTACTGTACATAGGAATGAGAAGGTTATAGAAAAGTGCCACAGCAGCAGTGCCCTAAGAAAGGAAAGGGGGCACCTTTAAAAAAATGGATAAAATCAGGCCAAGGGACTTCAGAGGGAATGGAACATACAGGAAATGAAAACATTTCTTTGCAGAACAAATGGGGCAGCACTGCTCTCGATCAGGTGCGAGTGCTGCTCAGTTGTCTCATGATATTTGTACACTGCTCAGAAGGTTCAGAATAGTGTCCTCAGACACAGATCACCTGGTGCTTGCACTGGACTTTTGAAAATGCAAGATTTCTGAATGATAAATTAACCCCACAAATTTTTTATATTTTAAAAAAGCTAATTTTGCAGGCAGGTTTCCATGTAAAAGGCCAGGTATTTAGCCACCTCAGCATTGATTAATTTCAGATGTCTAAGCTCTGTTACACATGGCTTCCCATGGCTTCACTCTACAAAACATATTTACAACGTGAAGATATATCTAACAAGAAATCTACATTTCAAGGGTTTTACAAATCAGTCTTGTATCTTTCCCCTGAATTGACTCTCACAGACCCCGTCCCCATGTCATTTCATTTGCCCAGCTTAACAGTCCATGGTCTACTTAAATGCAGCTCAAAATGTTCTGACTGGGCAACAGATTTACAGTTCCTCTATGAGACCATGTGCAATCACTCACATCTTCAAACCATGAAGGAATTCTGATTTTTTAGCTTTTCGAGTTCCTTAATTTGTTGTCTCAAAAATAGTATCCTCTGCTCTCGCAAAGCTGCTTGAATTTAACATACTCGAACTAATGATCTCAATTTTTTTAACTCAGTACATATTTCTGACATGTGTACACTTCCCATATTATGGCCTTCTTCACGCAATCTTGATGCCTGTTTCTCTGCATGGTCTGCAGGCCACCCTTGAACATGTTTTATGAGATTATCATTGAAGTGTGCTGCTAGAGTAGGTGTTAATGAGGACACAGGCCTAGCAGATGCATTCTGTGGTACAACAGTTGCAGTTGATGCATTACTACTACAAGTATGATTTGGACCAGGTGATGGACTTCTCTGGCTTAAGCACTGAAGACTTCGTGGGGAGACAGGATAATGACCCTGCTGCTTGTCAGCAGTTAGAGGCTGCTGTGTAGCCGAATGAGACACTGGTCCTTGCTTAACTACTGGAGTACTAACCTTTGGCTGTGATGAAACAGGTGGAGTACTAATCAAAGGTTTAATGGGGACCGTGTTAGTCTGAGGTGTGCTTATTCTTGGAGACACATAGGATCTTGGGATGAAGCATCAGACGTTACAGACATTGGAGACTGATTAGATAGCTGGGCTTGTGTAGAAAGCAGTAAGAAACTTGTGGATGATCGAGTACAGGGAAGCTTGTGTTACAGCTGCTGTAAGAACTTCATTTATTTTGGATATGTCCACATTAGAATTATTAAGCTGTAGCGTAGCTTGCAAAGCAGGAAGCAACTGTCTAAAAAGATTTGGGTCCTGAAGTAACGGAGGTATTGTTGACTGTGGAACTGGAGAAACAGGTACTGTTGAAGCAGATGTTGGAGGCGCAGATGTAGGGTTCAGGCCAGAGGCTGAAGATGTGGAAGGGAGTTGTACAAGAACGTGATACCGACTTGTCTCCTGGAGCAGATTTTCCACTGCAGAACCCACTAGTGGCTGTTGCTTGCATCACCTCTCTTCTGTAATCCCTGTCTTTTGGGAAACTATTAACTGCCAATTTATTTGCTTCTTTTTGTCTCTGTTCTTTCAAGCCACTCTTTTGGTTTCTCCCACTGTGAAACTTCTGTGCGACAATTGTAGTAGTATTTTTTTCCAGATGAGCTAATGTGCTCAGACCAACCATTTGCAGAATCATAAGGTGCATCTGAAGTTTTGCTTGGATTATTGCTTGGATTATAAGAATGTGAATTTGAACTATGAAGAGTACTGTGGTTATGTGAATTTTCTTGTGGAGAGTAACTGGTCCCACCTTCCCTCTCTCTAACTCCCTGAGTGTGCACATTTTTGGCCTTATTGTGACCTGTGCTGTCACTGTATTTGTTCTCAGGATTATTAGATCTCTGCAACATTTTGTTTGGTGGTGAAGGATCTGCAGCATCTCGCTGTGATCACCACTACTGGGGTGACTCTTTGATGAATACTTAAGTGCCTGGAAAGGCTGAGAGTCCCCCCTCGGGTCGTGACAGCCATCACTGAGTCTCTGCTGTTTCCTCGCATACATTACCATCAATGCCCGGCTGTGTGTGTGTGTGTGTGTGTGTGTGTGTGTGTGTGTGTGTGTGTGT